TACATTTTCAATATAAGTGTATAGATAGGCATGTCGAGGATTCAGGATTCACATAGTCCAAACTGATTCGTCAGATTTCTTTCATAGTCAGCTGATCATGGGAAGTTTTTCTTGTTGTTTTTTTGGTGCTCCATGTCTGATCCATATTCTCCTTTGATCTACACATCTGTCAGATATTTTAATTCTACATCACGAGTCTCCTCGAGCTCGTGTCCCCGACTCTAATTAGAGCCACAATAAAAGAAGTCTCCAGGCTTCAACTGTACACACTGCTACACGTGAAACTGATTTATTGTGCCGTTTATGGACCGGGTCCAAATTTAAAAAATACTTTTATTTTGAAGGCTTGTCCTGCAGGATGTCAGGGCTTTATTGTGGCGGTGCAGACAGGTGGGAGTGCAGACTGAGGAATGCAGCAGGTCCAGAGTCAGTGAGAGCGTCACCTCATACAGAGGTAGAGCAGCTTAGGACAAAAACAATCCACTTGTTTACTTTATTTATCATCTTATAACCTTCAAAAAGAGAACAGTTGTATTTCTGATTCTCTTCGTCCTTCGTGTAGATCTAACTCTCCCACACTTTGACGACTCTACACTCTATGAATCGTTCCCAGTAAACACACAGAGCCGGGTCAGCTTCCTCTGATTTAACGGACTGCTCCTTTAACCTTAAATGAGTCTCTGCGGGCTCAGGAGCTTTGTGACGGTGTGACGTCATCGTGGCCTCAGGCTGCTTTCACACACTGATCATTTACCTCTAATCAGTGACATCATCTGGTGACATCATGACCTCCATTTCAAAGTAAAGGTCAGACACACTGAGAGGTGAGGAAGACGAGGAAGACGAGGAGGTGCTGCAGAAAGTTGAGACAGGTAATGAACAGTCTGTCAACACTGTAATTAGACCGTCCCGACGACAGTGGACTGAAATGACATCGCTGCTGCTGCTCGGCCTTCACACTAAAACACGTGATGATAAAACAACAAGAAGAGGAAGAAGAAGAAGAAGAAGAGGAAGAAAAACAGAAGAAGAAGAAGAGGAAGAAAAACAGAAGAAGAAGAAGTGGGTGATAAGTAAACCTCAGATTTCATGTTTTACGTCGTTACTTCCGCAGTCAGGCTTCACTGACCTCACGTGAACAACATCAGACTCATAACCTCAGCATGAACTCGGTCTAATAACCGGGTCAAACCCAGAATGAGTCCAGCTGAAACAACGCACTAATGTAGCATCAAATCAGATATACTGTATGTATCCATTATATACCCAGTATCAAATCCAGTACATACCCAGTGTCGAATCCAGTACATGCCCAGTGTCAAATCCAGTACATGCCCAGTGTCAAATCCAGTACATGCCCAGTGTCAAATCCAGTACATGCCCAGTGTCAAATCCAGTACATGCCCAGTGTCAAATCCAGTACATACCCAGTGTCAAATCCAGTACATACCCAGTGTCAAATCCAGTACATACCCAGTGTCAAATCCAGTATAAAACCAAAAATAAATCCAGTGTTGAACTTAATCTGATTCCAGTAACAACACAGAATGTAACCCATAATAAACACTGTATCAGGCCCAGTATACATCCAGTATGAAAACCAGTTTAAATTGGGTTTCAAATCCAGAAGTAGACCGGAATAAATCCAGCATCCAACCCAGAAAATTCCAACATAAATCCAATTTGAGTAATTTCAGTAAGAAAGGATAAAGCCCAGAATGCACACGGCATGTGAGCCAGAAGAAATCTGAACCCGAGTTTAGATCTGGGATCAAACCCAGTATGAATCCAACATTAAAACCAAAGATAAATCCAGTTCCAAACCCAATTTCAACCCACTAACAACATAAAACTAAACCCATAATGCAAACAGTATCTGATGCAGTATTAATCCAGTTTAAAGCCCAGTATAAATCCAGTAACAAACCAGTATACATTCTGTATCATACCCAGTATAAATCCAGTAACAAACCAGTATACATTCTGTATCATACCCAGTATAAATCCAGTAACAAACCAGTATACATTCTGTATCATACCCAGTATAAATCCAGTAACAAACCAGTATACATTCTGTATCATACCCAGTATAAATCCAGTAACAAACCAGTATAAATCCAGTAACAAACCAGTATACATTCTGTATCATACCCAGTATAAATCCAGTAACAAACCAGTATACATTCTGTATCATACCCAGTATAAATCCAGTAACAAACCAGTATACATTCTGTATCATACCCAGTATAAATCCAGTAACAAACCAGTATACATTCTGTATCATACCCAGTATAAATCCAGTAACAAACCAGTATACATTCTGTATCATACCCAGTATAAATCCAGTAACAAACCAGTATACATTCTGTATCATACCCAGTATAAATCCAGATAACAAACCAGTATACATTCTGTATCATACCCAGTATGTATCAGACTCAGTTTCTCTGGTCCCAGTTCAATCCCAACCCAGTCTAAACTGGTGGTTAGAGGCCTGTGTGTGGGCTGACTGGGTAGATTAACATATAAATAACCTCCTCCCCCCTCAACTGGTGGGTGGGGGGGGGGGGGGGATTAAGGAGGTCAGTGAAAGAAAGAGTTTCTCTGTGGCTGAATGAGCGGGACGGGTGGGGGAGCGGGGGGGGGGCGGAGGGTACAGGGGGGCTATGGGGTGCAGGGTGTCTGTTTGAAAACTGATCAATAACCTGATCACTGAATCAAACTCTTAAATAAGTTTGAGGTCGATGTTTCCTGACGCTCTCATGCACCTCGTGAGTGAAACCTGTTCTGGACCCCTGCAGCTCTGGGTGGGAATCCCCTCAGCCCAGGCGTCCCACAGGGGGCAGCGGGGTCAGTGGAGCTCCTTCAGACGGGCGGATGGACACTGGACGCTTTGTCCTCCAGACATTCCCAATCCACGGCGACGTTCCCACACAAGAGCAGGAAAAATTACAGGCTGAACCCGAACGCATCATTATGACAGAGAAGCAGTCACCTGGACTCCCTCTGAATGCTACGGTGGCCCCTGAAGGTCAAGTGCACAAATATTTAAAGATTGAAAAAAAAGACATTTCAGCCAACAGCAAAAACATTTAATAAAATTCAGAAACATTTTACTTTAAAAGAAAACCTTAAATATATCTCACAGAAGGAGAACTCGTTTTTGCTATCCTGAAATATTTGTGTGTTTGACCTTCAGGGCCACCGTAGCACTATTCAAGAAGCTCAGAACTATATCTCACAGAAACTGAAATATTTTAGTTAAATTGGTGACACGCCCCCTGCACACATCTTTATGGTCTCCGTTAAGACCCTGACACAACGAGCAGGCGGCAAACAACTAGTCGCGATGAAGGCCAAAAAGTTGCACTTGAACACACCACAAAGACTACAGCCGACCACCAACCACCACGTACGTTCTGCTCAGGAAATAACTCTCCGTGCCAGCAGGGGGCGGTAGTCCGTTGTTATGATACAAGAAGACCATTTTCACACCGCTGTCGCTCACCACTCGTATTATAGGTCGTCTACTAATGGAGAATAATGTCTGATAAAAAGTAGAAAATGGCGCTGGTGTTGTCAGCTCTTGGTTTTTAGTGGAAAAAGAAAAGAAGAGGAGGAGGAGACAAATAAGGAGAAACCTCACTAATGGGTGAAAGCATGGAGACTACAGAGACATGCTCAAGGAGCTTTACTGAACCTGAGAGGAGAGCTGGAGAGAAATGAAACCTCCCAACAGCCAATCAGAAAGATTCTCACCGACCGCCGATTCAACACGTGGAATCGTCTGAAAAAAGGCAGAAGGGGGCCGACATGTAGCGACGGAGCCGAATACACCGCAAAAACTCACAGATGGTCCAACTAGGACCGACAGCCGACGATCAGACAAACATTGTTCTTGGTGTTTCCGGGCCTTTAGTGCGTTCTTCACTACAACACTAGAGTCAAAACGTGCAATATGTCGGCGTCTGTTCAGGGAGTGTTTTGGCTTCAGTTAAAGGCTTTCTATGTGATTTTTTGATCCAGCAGATGTCGCCCTTGAGCACCAGCATGAAACCAAAACAACTCACGCTGCATTGTTGTGTTAGCATGCTAATGCTAGCGATCTTTATTATGCTGGTATCTTCACACTGCATGTAAATTTACCTGAAATGAGCGTGATCTAGAAACACAGTTAAGCAGTGAGTACAGTATGTTATTCTTCTTTTCTCTAGTCCCTCAATTAAACAACTTTTATACACAAGGGGAGGAGTCAGCCGGCCGTCCCGGCGATGTAAACAAAGTGAAGATAGGACTCTGAAAACTCTGAAAACATCACAGACAGTGGGACTCGGGTGTTACACCCATTGTAGACAGTCATGACTCACAGAGTTATTTTCAGAGGAGATACTTGATTTCTACATTTAAGTGTGAAAAATGACATAGAAAGACTTTAAACATGAACAGTTGCATCAGTTATTTACAGTCAACGCTTCGGAGAAAGATGCGCTCTAAAACGTGCCAAAGAAACGTGTCTGGATGAGGCTCATCTTCATCTTTTAACCCCGATTTGGATGTAGGTTACAGGTCAGGGTCTCTCCTGACCAGTATGACCTCCTCACAAACACACTGAATGTAGAAACACAGCGTCAGATTCAAACTCCTGCTGAGACATCTGCTCAATCCTCTGCCTGGAATATTTCTCTCCAAAACTCCAGTACATAAGTGCACATAAGAAGGTTTTTACACACACACACACACACACACACACACACACACACACACACACACACACACACACACACACACACACACACACACACACACACACACACACACACACACACACACACACACACACACACACACACACACACACACACACACACACACACACACACACACACACACACACACACACACACACACACACACACACACACACACACACACACACACACACACACACACACACACACACACACACACACACACACACACACACACACACTTCCTGGTGTCAGGATGAAAAACCAGCTCACAGCCAACAACTGTTTCGTTTATTGTCATGGCAACAACCGGCCTCTCTCACCCGCTTCTTGCTCCTTACCTAACATGCTGGCGCCCTCTGCTGGGAAGTCTGGGAATTGTCCCTCTGAGGGGACGCTGACGGTCCTGCGGAGACTCCGGGCCTTGGCTGAGTCTGTCGGGCTCTCCTGAGCCTCTCCCGCAGCCTGAGGGGGGGAGGGGGAGGTTACTGTGTGTTACAGGCTCTTTAAAGGAGAAGTCTAACAATCAAACCATTAAAAAGGAACAGTAACTGAAACATTTGATGACATGATCTAGAATTGTGTGATTTTACTGCATTTTGCATTGTTTTTTTTATGTTGAAATTTATTTTAGATTAGATATTTTTGGGGGCTCTGTCTGTAGGGACTTGGGTCGGGAACCAGACGGTCGCCGGTTCAAGTCCTGGTGCAGACCAACACATGGAAGCTGGTCTGTTAGCTGGAGAGGTGCCAGGGCACTTCCTGACCCAGAACCTCCACAAAATACGTGTGCATAATTTGATCAACAATATTGTGTTGGATTTGAAAAGGCAAAAATATTTCTGACACCAAAACAAACTCAATGATTGAGTCAGAGGTAACTTTTATTTTGAGAGGTAAAATCTCTGATTTTTGTCAGTGGAGTCAGGTGTGTGATGTAATATCTGTTTGTGGTTAAAAATCATCTTCCTCTTTAACAAAACAATGTTTTTATTAATCTGAAACAGCCATGTCATGGCTCTCTTCAAGGAGGTGTTGGTCTGCTGCTGTTGTGACTGGTTGGTTTTGTGGATGTTGAACGACTTTGGTATGTTACATCCTTAGCTTAAAGCACAATTGTTGTTCAAAAAACCAACAACACAATAACAGAAAACAAACTGACTAATTAGGGCAGAGAGTTAAAATCCCTGTTTTTATCAATGGAGTCTGGTGTCTTTAAAGAGAGTGATGTAACAGGTTATTTATATACTTTCTCTGGTCCAAACAAATCCAGAGCATTGTGTTGTCCAGCAGCTTCATCGATGGGTCTGCTGGACGTAAATTTAAACTCTGAATCATGGACATTAACACTGAGTCCTTTTTTGGTCACTTTTACTGCTGTACAAAGTTAGATGTGTGATTAATCTTTAAGGTAATGATTTATTCCAATACACAAAATACAGCTTAGTCCTTCCAACTGTAAACATCTCCAGGAATAATACACAATAAATTAGAAATATTTCTCAGTTTAAGCTCTGTATGCACCACTTAGAGTCCATCCAGAGAAATGTAGATGTGTATAATATGTTGCGTCTTGTCTAAGTGTCCTGACCTCATCGTCCTTGTTGAGCAGGATGAGCTGGCTGTCGGTCAGGATGCAGAACTTCCTCTCCCAGGCCCCGCTGTCGGTGTAAGGACTCTGACCGCAGGAGAACTGATGGGCTGGAGGACCTTTGACATCTGAGAACAGAGAAATTAAATATCAGAAAATGCTTGTTTGTTTTTATCGATGCAACCTAAGGACGTAAGAAGAATCGTAACCCTCTGAGGTCTTATTGACGAGCTGAAAATGTTTATGATGCAAATTTGTACGATTTGAGTGAAATCGTGACAATTTGGTTGAATTCACATCTTTGAGTTTGTTTGTAATCAAGCTCTGCAAACTGTTTACAGGCAAGGCAGGCAACTGCTTGGGGCCCCAGACCAGTCGGGGGCCCCTGAGGGCTCACAAACTTAAACCAAAGCAATGTGCAACTTTTGCAACGACAGTAGAAAACCCTCCCGAAAGGGGCGCCATCTGACAGCACTCACTCTCGTTGCCCTGCAGAGCGTTGCAGCATGATTAATGTGAAAACCAAAGTTCATCAATTAAAGTCAACAAAGATAAATTCAGAGGAATTATCCGTCTACAGTAGAGAAAAAAGAAACAGGATAAAAGAGGAGTAAGCGTGGGGACACTGGCAGACATGATGGTGATGAACGCTGATTGGATGGGCGTCAAATTGATTTCTGCAGAAGGCCCTAACAGACTCTAGAATCGCCACTGCTGATTTAATCTTTGACCGTAAACTCAAGTCAAACTTTGTCCCATTTACTCATGTCTCTCCTGTGTTCCTCCTCTAATAAATCTGCATCAATAAAACACACAACACGAGTTATAAAGACGGATTCAGATCAAGTGTAGAAATACTTTATTGATAAGTGATTACAGGTGACAGAGGATTCACACTAACAAGATATTTTGACTCTTTATTTTGAACTCTTTGTTGTTTTCAAAGAACATAAAGCGTTCTTAGTTTGGATTCTTCAGAGGACGTTTCATCCACTGAAGATGAAGATGGTAAAGAAACATGAACAAAAGCTTTGACAAAGACAGTCTTCAGGTCTGATATTTGACATTTCAAACATGATAACAAATCTACGGAGCCATACCTTTGTAGGATGAAGCTCCAGAATGACTCAAACTTTTAAAAACAGGATTAATGTTGAGTTATTTGGAGCCCCCGAAGAATAAGTAAGGAAAAATAAAAAACTGCTCTCTCTCTCTCTCTCTCTCTCTTTCTCAAGTGCGATCGTCATCAAACTGTCCTAACCCCTCTTAAAACAAGAACAACAATAAACCAAAACAAACATATAAGATAAGATAAGGCCATTTGTCACAGAAAATTAATCACAATCTGGATCATTTTGTTTAAAAGTTCACAGTTTGCCATTCTTACAAGTTCATAAACAAAATAATGCCATACTAAATTATATATCACTTTTACATATTGGCTACTTGTAAACAGAAACTTTGCAGGGCTGGAATAGTGCAGAGTCAACTGTCCAGTCCACATGTTTATAAAATATTCAATGAATGCATTCATTATTGTGCATAAGACACAAAAAGGACAAAAAGACGAGATAAGAATCATAAAGTTCTACAGAAACAAAACAAAAAATGGTGAATAAAAACTGACCAGAATGCAGGAAAAGAAATGAAAGCTGCTTAAAATGTTTACTTTTGAATGTAATGGATGCTCTGTTTGGATAACCACCCGTGGTTCGGGCTGCACATGATCTACAGATCATTCACTTTACATACAGGAAGTGAATGTGTGTGTGAGTTTGTGTTGGTTGGGTGTTTAGCTTCTGTTGAATTTGAAGATATCATTTGGCCATGAATCTTGCATGTCCCAAAATGCCTTGAATACGATATATTAACAGAAAGAATTCTGGACCTCACTATTTTCTAAACCCTGGTTACAGCCCTGACTACACCAACAAGATTAAAGATGGAACTACGATTTAGTAAGAAGTCAAAGTCAACTTTATTGTCAATTTCAAAATATGCCAGAAATACAGTGGAATCGAAATTGCGTTTGTCTCCGTCCCGCGGTGCAATACAACCAAAATAAGGTAAAATAAGATAAGGTAAAATAGAAAAAACAAAATGAGGTAAAAATAAGATAAATAATATTTACAGTAATAAATTCTAAATTGTGCAAAAGGTACAAAATGGTAAATAAAATAAATAAAAAATAAATAAAATAAATAAAATAAATAAAATAAAATAAAATTTAAAGAAAAAGTAAACTTGTGCAATGTGCAGTAAACTGAGTGTACTTTGAATAGTTAGCTTCAGAGTTATTAGTCCAGAGTTCTTGGTGGCAAACGGGAGGGGTTTCAACGTCCAGTGTTCGTGGGGGCAGAGGGGAGGGAAGGAAGAGAGGGGAGAGAGTTAAGCTTCTGACAGCTTGGTGGAAGAAGCTGTTTCCCAGTCTGGTGGAGCCAGCCCGCAGGCTGCGGTACCGTCTCCCTGATGGCAGGAGGCTGAAGAGGCTGTGTGAGGGGTGGGTGGGGTCACGCACAATGCTGGTTGCTTTGCGGGTGAGGCGGGTACCGTAGAGGTCCAGAAGAGAGGGGAGTGGGACACCGATAATCCGTTCAGCAGCCTTCACTGTGCGCTGCAGGGTCTTGCGGTTGACAGCAGTGCAGCTCCCAAGCCACACAGTGATGCAGCTGGTCAGGATGCTCTCGATGGTGCCTCTGGAGAAGGAGCACATGATGGATGGGGGGCTCGTGCTCTCTTCAGCTTGCGGAGGAAGTAGAGGCGCTGCTGGGACTTCTTGGCCAGTGATGTGGTGTTGGTTGTCCAGGAGAGATCCTCACTGATGTGAACCCCCAGGAACTTGGTGCTGCTCACTCCCTCCACAGCAGCACCTTTGATGGTCAGTGGGGGTTTAGGAGTGGGGACTTTCCGGAACTCGACAACAACCTCCTTGGTCTTGTCGACGTTCAGGAAGAGGTTGTTGTCTCTGCACCACGTGGCCAGTTGGCTGACCTCCATCCTGTAGTGCGTCTCATCGTTGTTGGAGATGAGACCAACCACTGTTGTGTCGTCCGCGAACTTCACAATGTGGTTGCTGCTGAAGGATGGAGCGCAGTCGTAGGTCAGAAGCGTGAAGAGCAGGGGGCTGAGCACACAACCTTGGGGGGCCCCCGTGCTCATGACGGTGGTTTTTGATGTGCTGCCGCCGACCCGCACTGTCTGAGGCCTCTCGCTGAGGAAGTCCAGCAGCCAGTTGCACAGGGAAGTGCTGAGCCCTAGCTGGTCCAGTTTGCCGATCAGCTGCTGAGGGATGATGGTGCTGAATGCTGAACTGAAGTCTATGAACAGCATTCTGACGTATGAGTTTTTGGTGTCCAGGTGGGTGATGGCTGGGTGAAGAGCAGAACAGATGGCGTTCGCGTTCGCGTACCTCTCCTGTCAGCCATGGCTTCTGGTTAGCCCGGGTGGTGATGGTTCTGGTGGTGGTGACATCAGCAATGCATTTGCTAATGTAGGAGGTAACAGTGTCATAATAAGAAGAGTAAAACGTGATGATCTGAAGTTATTATTCTACAACTGTAGAGTGATTTCAGATCAGATAATAATCATTACTGTTTTATTCTCTCCATGCAGGATAATAACTCATAATGCACACAAAGATACAGATGATGCCTTCAGGGACTCCTTAGAGTTCAAGTGAAAAAGTCAGAAATCAAACATTCACAGCAGCTGAAGCAACAGATGACAGTTAACCAGTTAACACGCTGAGCAGATTATCTTTAAATAGACTCCAACAAACCAACCAATCAGGATCAAGATTTTACCTGCTGTGGAAATACTCAAAGTTATAACGAATGATTCAACAAAACAACATAACCATCACCATGACAACGCAGTCACACAACCCTAAGCGAATCAGAGACGAAGATTCAGAACATCATCATCATGTATTAGTGTCTGTTCTCTGGTAAAATCTTTAGTGGGAGTTTATCACCAGTGTAAATGTATGGAAACATCCTCTCAGTGAAAGTGTGTGTGTAGGTGTGTATGTGTGTGTTAGTATCAGGATCAAAGAATGACAGCTCTCCTCTGTTACAGTCCAGATTCACTCTGATCCTCTGAGGATTCTTCTTCACTGAGAGAACAGTGACTCGATATGATGAGGCGCGTGCTGTGTATTTACCATCATCGAACCGTATTCTCCATAATCCAGACCATATGACTCCCTTCCTCTTTACAGACTCTGCTAACACACCCAGGTTCCAACGTGTACTGTCTCCAACCTGGACGTCCCAGCTGTGAGTCCCTGAGTTAAAGCCCTCAGAGCCCAGGACAGAGCTGAAAGGATCAAACCTCTCTGGATTATTAGGAAGCTGCTGTCTCTCTCCTTCTCTCACACAGGTCAGATCTTCAGACAGGATGAGTTCTGGATCAGCAGTGTTTGGGTCCAGAATGACCGGACTGTAGGAGACCATGTCCTTCATCTTGTTCCAGATGTTGAAGGTCAGGTTGCCCAGGTGCTTGGCCTGGTCTATCAGAGCTCCTGAGGGCAGCTGTGGATCCTCCAGCAGGGGGCGCTGCTGGACTCTTTCCACTGCAGCCTTGTAGTTTTTCAGGAATGAGACGTCTTCAGCTCTCAGCTCGTCCTCTGTGTCTCTGACTGTGTGTGAAAGAGCTGCTATCTCTCTGCTCAGAGCCTCCATCTCCTCCTTCATCCTCTGACTCTTCTGCTCCTCTTCCTCCCTCAGTGCACACAGCCTGGCCTCCTCTTCCTCTTCTAGAAACTGGTGAAGCTTCTTAAACTGTTCCTTAATCTGCCTCTCTGTGTGTCGGGCCTGGACCTGAATGTGTTCTGCTGTTTGATCAAACTTCACTTTAACTTCTTTAAAAACATTTAACTTCTTCTTTACCGGCTCCAGAGTTTCCTGAAGTTTCTTCTTGTGTTGTCCAGCAGCTTCATCGATGGGTCTGAATCTGTGCTCAGAGTGTTTTTCTGAAGTAATGCAGACGACACACACCGGCTCCTGATGGTCCAGACAGAAGAGTTTGAGTTTGTCAGAGTGCAGACTGCAGAGATCCTCTGAAGCTCTCTGATCTCTCTCCTGCACAAAACTCTCACACAGGTTCTTTAAAGCAAAGTTAGGAGGAA